GCTGCGCCCTGTACACACCCGGTACTGAGCGCAGAGGGAAAGGCTACGCAAAGAACAGACCATTCCCTTGTCTACGAGACAATAAAAAAAAGAAGCCAGGCTTTACTTTTCTGCTCAAAGCTTGTTTCTCCTTCCGACGCTTATTTCCAGAGTCCGATGTTTAAAGTCTCATTCTTTCTTAATATTCAAGGTTCTTTCCAGCAAGCAGAACACCTGGCTTTTGTGATTTTCCATATCATAGCGGATTGAGCCAATGGAAGTAAGTGTATGCCTTCACTCATGGCTGCTTAGGCATGAGATTTGCATGTATATTTTTATTCTTCAATTTATGTTTAAAAAAATAGGGTTTCAAAAAAAATAGGGTTTCATTTTCTTTCTTTTTTTTTTTTAAAGCTACACAAGGTAACTAACTACTCTTTTCCCCAAATCATATTGAGTGCATGCTGTGACATGGTTCTTAATAGAGAGGAAATCCTTTTTATAAATGTTCTTCTAGTTGATATTGGAAAAGGATACCACGTTTTGTAAAGTAGAGGTGAAGCCAAAAAGAGGACAACCTTTGGCAAAATGGATCCACTCAGTGGCTGTAGCAATCGGCTCAAACATCAGAACAGCCGGAGCGCAGGGCCAAGTCCTGTGTAGTTCTGTTGTCTGTAGGGCCATTATTGAGTCGGAAGTGACCCAAAGGCACTTAACACCAACAGCAAGTGATGCTAACTGTTTATTATTAGAGATCACTAGCTATTTCTTATCTTGGTGACTACAAAGGATGTTAGTATTCTGTAGCCTAATGTCAATTAAATGTCAAAGAGAATGAAAACAAGTTCTTTCAAATTTTACCATACACTAGTGGCTTGTGGGATTGCCTTTCTCCCCCTCCCTTTTGCCAAATTAGAAATGGTAACATTGTTCGGGAGGCACAAATACAGCCAGATAATTTGAAACCACAGGGTGAGGGCTACTCTTTGTATGGGTTGGTGAAATATTAGTCATATAATTCAGGGCCATGAAAAATCTTGCCCACAAGAGGCTAATATTCAGTGATGTCTATAATACAACATAGTCATACTTCAGAGACAACTCAGACTTCTCAGACAACTCTAGCTTATTTATTTTTCTAGGCATGATTCTGAAACGCACCAAGTCTGACTTTCAATGTGGGATTGAAAATGTTTTCATATGTGTTCTATTTTTTTTGGAAGAGTCATAACTGCCCTCACTCAGGATGCACGTGGAGTGTGTCAATGGGAAAAGACAGCTTCATCCACTCACATTTAAAACCAGTTCACCTCAGCGTGTTGCGGACAATCTTCATGAGCTTTCCTCTGCTGGACAGCGAGTTAGTTATTGAGAAAGGTTTTTAAAGAGTGAATGCTAAACCTAGTACGCTGTTCACGAAATGGATGAAATATGTAAATGTGCCTCATAAGGCTGCAGGTTAAACTTTTATTAGGGGATAAAACAGTAATGTCCCACAGCGTGTTCAGAAGCACTATTGCACTTTTTCCCCTCTTAACAACATCCTTCTTAGGCAGAGAAACCGACCTTGGAGATGTATTAAAACTTTAGAAGGATTAGAGAAAGCGTCTCTGTGGAATCGGTGTTTTATGCTCTAAAGGATGCTGTGAACACAGACAAGGGGTCCATGCTTTGGGACTGGAAGAGCACCTGTAGATGCTATCTAAAAAATCCGAACCACAAGTGCCTCCTTCGAATAGATGCTGATTCTTAGCAACAATACTGCTCCCGTGGGTTTTTCAGGCTGTGCCTGTTTACTGGAGTCAAAGCCCCCGTCTCCAGTGGAGCGCCTGGTGGTTTTGTATAGCCGACCTTGTGGCCTTGTGGTTAGCAGTCCGCCAACCATGATGCCGCCAGGGCTCTTTCGCAGCAGTTACAAGTCAACTCTTTTTTGGAGTTTTAGAAATCTTGCTTTTAGAAGTTATGGGCTAACACCACACACATACACACACACACACACACACACACACAGGCTCCTTCTGTAGTAAAAACTATCAATCTATCCACTGTCTCTTGCAAAAGAATCCCACCTTCAAATTCGACCCTATGTTTCCATAACCTTCCTTCTGCGAAGCCAAGCTTTTGCCATATGTTAGTTTTTCTCAGAGAGATCGAATCTGTGGGTCCCATTAGGGAGGCTGCATTACTCAGCAAGGGTTGTTTTGGAACTCAGTGATGAGAAGGCAGCTTGCCAAGTCAGCAGCCTGTGGTGGAAGGGTAAAGTATGAGTGTGTGTATGTGTGTAAGAAGGTGGTGTGGCAGAATCTATAATGGAAGATCAGAGGTGCTCAGCAGAGTCCAGATAGCTGCAAACCTCTCGGGCAGACAAGAGAATGGAGCATGTCTGGTCTTGGATTTGTTCCAGCCTGGGACACACTCATGTCTCCATCCTTGAGGGGTGAGCAGGTATTCAACTCCTCAAACCCAACCATTGAGCAGGTGGCCATGGGGGAAATTTGATTTCAGGTAATTCGGGCAAGATAAAGAGATGGGGGTGGAGAAATGCGATAGGAGCTCCCACCTCCTTCTCCAGTGGAAAGTCCTCTGGAGGCCCTCTGAATTTCCACCTACCCTCTGAGCAAAGATGTCGGGGAGCTACTTTCCTGGCCACCTTACAAAGTGTCTGTGTTCTAGAAATCAGAGAGGAGCAGAGGAAGCAAGGGTGACAAGCACCCAGGGAGCCTATTACCCCAGGTTGGTCTTTCACTCCGTTGAAGGAATCAGCCCCATGGCAGGGAGTTTGGTTTGGATTTGGGATCTTTAACTGGCAATTAAGAAACGAAGTCTTATAAGTCTTTTAAACATGGTGGCTCCTGCTTCATGGAATAATCTTGACATTTTCCTAAAGAAGATATACTTGAGCATATAAAACACAATTATCAGTGAATTTTCAAAAATCTATCAACCATGAAGCACTGACTACTGCCAGTGGTTATTTCTCAAACCCCTGGACCGCAAGGTGACCTGGATCCAAGACAACAATCCATGGCCTTTTGATTTTGGGGAGCCCTCCAGTAACTGATAACCGCCCCCCCCCAACTCCATCTTTGCTTCCAAGCTACTGTGATCCCAAGCTACTCTGTCATCCCACAGCCTCCATCCCACCCCTGGGGTACAGGAATCACTTGTGGGACACAGGACTCCAGGGGCCGCCCCCTAGTTCCCTCCTCATTCCTTTTCCAAGTACATAAGTGGGCGACATGCAGGCTTGGAAACACCTGCTGGGCGCCTGCCCAAACCTCTCCTTCCTCAAGCTGCTAGCTCCACTCACAGGCGTCCTGCATGTTGGAGGTGGCGATGCTGGAGGGCGCGCGCGCATTCTCTCCAGTCTCTCCTTCCCTCCTCACCTCCCCACTTTGCATTAAATAGAAGTCCACTCAGTCCACTTCCTCCCGCGGAGCAGGGCAGGAGGGGCGGAGGCTACAATGTGATGGAGGGAGCCTTGGGGTTTTGTTTTGGACCCAGGGCCCTCTGATAGGAACTCCCCACCTAATCCCTCAGCTCAAATCGCGGCCAGGACTCTCCCGTTTCGCAGCACTGGCTGGGGACATGGGCAGGGCTGCATCCTCCGCCTTGCTCGCACTCAGTCCTGCGGCCACACGTGGGCGCCGACGCCACAGCAGCAGGTGCTCAGGGCGCGCTCCCAAGGCTCCTTTTGGGCGACCCTGCGCTCAGCTGCACCCAGTCGCCAGCTTGGTGGTTGGCCCAGCCCCGGTGTCACAGAGCCATGGGTCCCAGAAGAGCCTAGCGGGGCGCCGGGTCCTGAAACTCCTCCGAGGCCCGGTGGATGGTGGGGGTTGGTGGGGGGTGGCGGGTAGGTGCTGCAGCCACGATCAGACCACTGGTGCTTCCAGGGCTCCCGCACCTCCTTCTCTCCCTGAATGGGCGCGCCCGTGCGCGCATGCTGGACCGGGGCCAGCAGGACTGCGCCTCAGTGGGATGGGGCTGGAAGAGCCCAGGACCCCTTTGGTGGGGTGACCCCTTCCGTGGGCCCCAATTCGCAGCTAAACTTTGCCGTCTCTCCCCCCGCTGCCTCGGACTCCTAGGCCTGCCTCGAGGGAAGCGCACGCCTCCGCCAGACAGACCCTCAGGGTGGACCACGCACCGGTGGCGGGGGCGGCACAGTGGGCGGGGCGAGGAGGCCCCCCGCGGACGGACGCCCGGCCCCTCCCCGCCCCGCCTGGCTCTGGCATGGGACCGCGTTCAGATTCGCCTGTGCCCCGCACGCCCAGCGCCAGACTGGCCCGTGACTGCTCCCCGCCCACCCCCACCCGCCATCCGAGCGGGGGATGTTCTTGTCGCCGCCTCACTCAGCGACGCACTCGCCCTGGGTGCGGGCCACGCGGAGCCGCTCCGTTTTCCGGAGGGTCGCGCAGCCCCGGGCGATGACTCAGGCGCCCACCTGGTAACT